TTTTATTTTATTTTATTTTTTTCTACAGTTTTATTGATAAACATATAGCAATGAGACAGTTTCAAATCAATTAAATTTAATAAATTAAGAGTTGCTGGACCGTGTGGGCAATTTACACTCAGAGTAAGCCAGACCAGTGAGACAAGATCAGAGTAACGGAGAGTGAATATATCTGTCTGACCCAGATATTGCTCAAAGGAGTGGGAATTAAAATGAAACCAAAGAGTTCTGAGCAGTTATGTTTTCTTATAGACAGTGTTATTGGCTACAGCCTATGAGACAAGCTGCTTAAAACTTAAAAGTTTGGAAATAAGTTATAAGAGTTCCAGGCAGAAGTAGTCAACTCAGAGAAGGTAGTGGTCCCTGTACAATTTGATTCCCTTGTGTTTGGAATCCCTGTAGTCTGACACTGAGGAATCACGTCCCCAGCAGAGAGCACACTGCTCTGAAATTCGCTTTCCTTGAGCTTTCCCCATTCCTCAGACCCAGGAGGTGAGTCCTGTGAAGGGTATCCAAATTGGTGCAGAGATTGCATGTTTCAGATCCACCTTCAATGTTTGCTGAAATTCAATCTCTATGGATTAAGTGCCTGCAAGCAGGCACAGGGGCCCAGGGTTCAATCCTCAGGCCTGCCATGCTGGGCCCACCCCTGGGGCTCACTGAGACAGCAATTGAGACTGGACATGGTGGCGCACGCCTGTAATCCCAGCTCTTGGGAGGCTATAAACAGGCAGATCACTGGGAGTCTGATCTAGTAGTGAGCCCCTAATCACCTTGTAGACCCCTCTCTAAAATACAAAACATAATAAATAAATAAATAAAATAAAATTCAACTTCTGTCTCCTCCCTGGACTAAGTCCTCTACTCCTCTGTATGAGAGGATAAGGAATAGTGACTCAGGCTTTACCACAAGAAAGAAAATAGAGACCCGGAGGCTTAGTTTTTCTGTGGTCTCTCAGCAGCACCCACCTAATGATGCAATCAAACTATGTAACTAGATTAATGCAAGCATTAGCAAATGAACAGAAATTCCTCTTAATCGAGAAGTTTTATGCTGTACAATTTGTTGCAATTGTGGTAAACTGGGTCACAGGAGAAAGGATTGTCAAAAAAGAAGAAAGAAAAAGTAAAGAGAAAAACAAGCTCTTTCTTGCTCCACTCAAAAGGCAGAGTTAGTCACCATTATTATGTTAATATAGGATTGCTCTGATTCATTAAACCTTGTCACTGATTTCCAATATGCTAAATATGCAGTAATACGCTAAACATGCAGTAAAAGAAGCCATACTGCTACCTTGATTTCGGATGGTTCTGAGTTCATGCTGTTGTTTTCTGCTCTGCCACAGTTTATTAAAAATAGAAGTCAGTGTCACTTTATTACACGTATTAGAACTCATGCTGCATTGCCTGGCCCTATTGCCAGCAGGAAGCCACCAGATAAGTTATTTACTTATAAGGTTCAAGCTGTCTTCTGAAAGTTTTGTAAAATTTTTCATTCTTTTCTTATCACAAAAATTCCATATAATCCCCAAGGTCAAAGAATTGTTATATGTATAAAAGCAAAAAAAAAAAAAAAAAA